CTATTCGTTACCAGCCTGGTCCATGTCCGAGGACGAACATGGGATCAGGGGGGGAAGGTGTAACCCACATTACGTAACACCACGTCCAGTGGCACCTTTACTGTGGCGGGATAACCCTCTTTAAGTTCCGGCGCACACACACACACACACGACACACACACACACACACACACACACACACACACACACACACACACACACACACACACACCCTTCCTGCTCCTCTCCTCCGGTGCTACAGCGCTGCTGCTAACTGTTGGAAATGGAAGCCTCACCACGGATCTGATAAAGATTTACCGTTACCGCTACACTCTTCTTTCTTTCCCCTCAGAACGCATTTCAACGGTGAGTGACAAAACTACCTCTCCTGAAAGATATCCGCAATCCGTCCTAACCTGTCAACACCCGCGTAGCCATCTAAGCTAACGCCCACCACTCCCACAAAGAAACGCCGTCAGCGCGGCAACCAAATTGACTTTTTGTTTAATTCCCGCTTTATTTTACTTTTCACTCAACCCGAACGTTTCACCAACGCCATTCGCATTGACCAAATACATTTTTAATTGATTACCCCAAACATTAATGGAATGTTAGCCTATTTTCAGAACGAGCCCAAGCGGCAATGATCATTTTGAAAGCAACCGGTTGCGCAACAACACGACATTGAATTGCTCACGAATATTGATTTATTTGTTTAAAGGTGCACCGTATTTTTGTAGTATTATTTTAGTTTGTGAATTATTAGTCAAATGATAAGCAAATGTTTATTTTTGTATGTATTGAATTTATTGTGTGATTGAATTTTCATTTCCTTTAGTAATGGATTATTACTCCAGTTAAGGCTATTTTAATTTATTTCATTGCTAATTTTTGTTTTACTGACCCTGTTCCAGGTCAGGTTTTTTTCCCATACTGAATCATTCTCTCGAACATCAACACCACTACACTGGATGGCGAGCTACTGAACGCCACATGAAATCGCGGTAGGATAAAAATAACCCTTTCATAACAACGGACCCACATTCTCTTTTGGATTACAATAACTCTTCTCCTTGGATTACAATAACTTTAATGAACTATATCACCCTCTACCTCTGCCTATGAACTGGACTCTTGACTTGAAAAGAAAATTATTGGTTTTGTCATTTTTTTTGTGTGTTATTTCGTTTTGTCAAATTATACCTATATATACATAGCAATAATAATAATAATAATATAATATAAATACGTTTCTATTATTCATACCCTTATATATTTATACTCCAAATTTATATTATTAATACATACCTTTGAACTAATTTTGTGTTCTGTTTTATTCACACACCTTCACTCCTGCTGAACCCTCTTCTGATTGCACAGATCGCTGCCATATCCTAGCCCTAGTCCGTTACATTGTGAAGTTGTAATGTATTGTTTTGCATCCTGCTTTTGTATTTTTATGGAAAACTTTTGTGCAGAAGAATGGGTTACGTGGCTTGTGGGCTGATGCTGCTAACCGTAAGGAAGGTTTATGACAAATTCCATTTCCGTGATGTATCTAGGACACTTACCCTCAGCTCAGTCCTTGTTATCTTAGTCTGCGTCATCAGAGGTTTAATACTCCCTACAATGGAAGCATAGCCAGGCTAGACTGCACTGGAATGGAATGTTCAACACTATCACAAAAGAAGTGGAATAAAGTTGATTTTGCATAACACCCCCTCTAAAAACATATCTGTCTCCATGGAAACTGGCAAAGGTCAGGTCTGTGGGGACACGTCCTCATTCACAGTAAGAATGCGTGTTTATTTCAGATTTAACACCTAAATTGAATACGTGCACGATATAATAATACATTTTATTTATACAGCACTTTTCCTTGGCTCACGCAAAGACACAGCACAAAAAATACAACTAAAAATGTCATATTTACAAAACGACTCTCATAATAAAATAATAAATTATGACAGTATAACAAAAAAGCTGTCATAATTATAAAAGCAGGTATGATCATAATATAATAATACAGTATAAAGATATAATAAATGAGTGCCACACTGTGAAACATTGCAGGCAAAGTAATGAAAATCCCCACGGAGACAAAAAAGTCACATAGTGCAAAATATTAACTGATCCATCACAATGAGAACAACACTCATCCTACAGAGTGCACCTTTTACAAGACGACCGTTTTGTATGGAAATGTGCTGTAATGTCATAAAGCCTTTTTGAGGTAGAATCCTGTGGGTGGGGTTGGCATGGGTGTTTCCGCAGTGCTCAAAGCTGCCTCAGAAAATGCCCCAAACTGCAGGATTGGGGCAGCTTTCAACCATTTGAATAAACATTGAGTTAGTGTGGGCCCTTTGAGAAATGCAGTAGTGGAAGAAGTACTCAGCTTTGTTACTTAAGCAAAAGTACAGATACCAGAACAAAAAATACTCATAATAATCACACGAAAGAATCTACTTAACTAAAAGTATCCCATTTAATGTACTTAAAGAGTGAACATTAAAAGTAGTTTGTGCAAAGTTTGAGATACAATAAAGCTTCAACAGAACCAAGTGAATTGATTGTTTTTATTTGTATATTTTTGTTTGCTCAAACTATGAATATGCTAAAAATTAACCTCTCAGCGTTTTCAGCGGGTCTCAACCAATTAAAAAAACTTTTAACTGAGCCCTGATGAAGACCAGTTGGGTCGAAACATGTTGGCTTTGGCCATCTAAATAAAGGCCTTTTAACTATATTTTTCCTTGTGTGATTTTTACTTCTGGAGTGCCTGGATTCAGTTTTGTTTAAAGTTTTGATCCTTTTTCCAAGAACACCCTCTATCTGCTCCCACTGACTGGAACACCTGCAACAAGTAGCCACATTTTTGTTGTTTCAATAAAAAAAAAATCCTTTACTTTTCAGTTCTGTTTAAAAATGTATTAGAGTAGAAAGTACAAATACATAAAGTAAAAGTTATCCACTTAAAGTAGTCTAAAGTACAAAGACCTAAAACGTATACTTAAACAGTACTTTACTACTTTTATTTTGTTACGTTCCACTGGAGAAATGCAAACAGCAATTACACGTTTTACAACATAGACAAGAGCCCTTTTTATGTGAAACCTCCAAAGATCAGCTTCAGATAAGAATACCTGAATGAGTTCTGAAATTCCCACACAGGTCATGGAGATCTGGAATGTTTATTAGAGGATCTTAGTCTGGATTAGGGTCGGAAGGATATCCACGTGAAGTCTAAACATCCCGGCAGCCATTATGAAATTCCTCTGTCAATCACACACTACACAAGCACGCATGTTAGGTTTTCAATCCTTTATGGGGACATTGCCTTGCCTTACATTCATTTCCTGAATGATCCTTACAGCAGCAGTAGCTCTGTCGGTAGAATACTTATCCTCTGATCTACAAGGCGGTGGTTCAAGTCTTGCTCTTGAGATAAAAATACCAGACTACCAGGCAAACACATTTTTGCAAAATTTTTACTTTGGCAGATATAACAGCTGAACACACTCGTGGCATTCTTCAGAGGAATATTCTTCAGAAAGTTCTTCCCAAGTCTGCTGCAGAAGTTCCCATAAATATGTGGCACTTGTAGTTTGCTTGACTTTCACTCTTCTGTCCAGTTCATCCCAAAACCAACTCGATGGGGTTTAAGTCTGGAGACTGTGCTGACCACTCTATGTTTTCAAGCTCACCATCTTGTTCTTTTTTCTTGAGGTAGTTTTGGCAGAGCTTGGACTTCTGTTTTATTATCTTGTATCTTTTTTTTAACCTCTGGCTGTCCAGTTCTTACCTTTGTACCCTTTCAAGCTCTTCACTGGACCTGCACGACTTGAATTGCAATAAATAACTGGTAAAATTAGGGTGTTCTAAAACTTTTGACTGGTAGTGTATTTTTCTTCTTTATTTTCATGATTTTTCACATTATAGATTCTCCCTGAAAACATCAAAACTATGAATGGGCACACATGGAATCTAGCAAACAAAAATTAAACTCAAAATAACTAAAAATGTGTATTAAGATTGAAAAAAAAAAAAAAATAATAGCCATCCTTTGCTTTGAACCCTGGTGATCCTTGACCCTGACAAGACACATCTGTGAAAACCATTTCAGAAGACTTCATCAGTAAGCTCACTGAGATATACCACACCACACTAGACAAGTTAAAGATGTAGAATGTGCAAAGAGGCTCCTGAGACAGTCCAGCACATAACTGCAGAGTGTAAGATACTGGCAGGGAAATCAAACATGGAGCGACATAACCAAGTGGTGGGCATAGTGTACAGAAACATCTGTGCAGAGTACGGGCTGGAGACCCCAAGGTCAAGATGGGAAACAACTCCAAAGTTTGTGGAGAACGACCGAGCCAAGATCCTGTGGGACTTCCAGTACAGACTGACAGGATGGTGATGGCGAACCAACCAGACATAGTGGTTGTGGCTGGGTAAGCAACAGAACGAAGCCGTGGTGGTGGAAATTGCAATACCAAGTGATGGCAATATCAGGAAAAAAGAACATGAGAAACTAGAGAAATACCAGAAATCTATACAGTAAATCTTACATAATATATTTGATGAATTCTGTCTGTTTCTAAAATGTAAAAAATAGCAAATATAAAGAAAAAATACACTGAATGAGATGTGCATCCAAAATTTTGACTGGTGGCAGGGCAACTCCAACGTTCACAGATGAAATTAATAGTCATTGTGTCCTTGGGCAAAACACTTAACCCATCCCACTCGCAGTGTCTGTGTACACTGGTGTATGAACGTGAGTGAGTGTGTGTGTTTGTTAAAAGTAAAGCTCTTTAAGTGCCTTGAAAGGTAGAAAATATGAATGAGATCATTTACCATTTTATAATCACTATTTTATTACCTTAACCTAAGCCCAAACCTGATCCCATATCTGATCTAACAATAAATAGTTTGCGTCACTTGATTTTTGTCTCCCAAGGAATGTGTGTACAGATTTCAGATAAACTCCACACAATATTACACACTTTAAGACAATATTTTTTTAGACAGTTTTATTAAGAAGAGAACAGCCTTCAATTATAATCCCAGCTCAGTGTTCAACAGAGTAAATAAATAAAAGTACAAAATAAATACTATTAAATACGGTATAAAACTGGAAGGAGGAGAGAAAGAGCTCCCCAGATTTCAGAAAAGGCAGCACAAACTTTGAGCAGATACAAAAATAATTTGAGAATCAGACAAATGTACAAAAGTAATCTGCGGACAGAGTAAAATATCCCTTTTCCAACGCGGGTCTGTCAGGTACATGAGAAGAGGAGATGCGTATTCAAGTAGATCAGTAACACAGAGGTTTGCAGTCATCATTAAGAGCACTTTAAACATCACACGCAACACACACACAGGCACGTTGGATTCAAATGCAATCGGAAACAATTTCACAAAAAAATAAAAAATTTAAGCAACTCAACTCTTTGTATGAAATTATATTATAAACCCCATTATGCAACCTATAGCTAGTCTCGCAAAGTAAACAGACACAAAACTCAGACCAGCCCACAATTTGCAAGTCAAAGAATTAAGATTTGGCTATAGAAATCAGCATATATATTTCTATACATTTAAAAAAGTGATTTCTTTCTTTGTTTTTATGAAAATTAAGCATTTTAAGGCAGATAGGTAAACAATAGCATTTGATGAAATAGTGGCAACATTAAGACTGGTTTTACACTGACTTACACTACCAGTCAAAGTCAAAGTTTGAACTCACCCTAACATTCAATATTATTTTCTTACAGCTTTCAACATTTTAAATACACACAGAAGACATTAAATATATGAAGCAAGATTTATGGAATTATTTAGTAAAGGAAAAGGTGAAATAGCTCTACAAAATATTTTTCAAAAAAGCAAAAGGTGGTTGATTTGAGGATTTTTATATAAAATGTCGAAAGTACTAAACACTGAATGAGAGGCTGAGCCCAAACTTTTGACTGGTGTACAGATTAACCTTGGTGTGTTTTTTTTTCTCCACACAACAGCACACAGCGTTAGATAAAAATGCATTGCAAGTTTAAAAACTATCTTTAATTGAAGTGAAGATTGAACTAAGTGCTACATCAAGAAGTATTTGGTAACTGCCCAAAACAGGAACTAAAGCCATAGAGTATACAGTATATACACACACAAAGTACCACAAAGTCTTTTTTTTTCATATAACAACATCTATTATATGATTGTAGCTTAGTATCGGTAGCAGGCCAGTCCCACTCCAGTCCACGAGTTCACACCTGGACCAGCCCTAGCTTACCGCAGCCGTGTCGCCCGCTGCGTCCATATTTGGGCTGACAGGAAGTGGTCCAAAGTGCCAGATTAGAGCTTTAACAATGCTGGGCGTGGCCTGTCATCCTCACTACCGGCTCCAGGAGGGCCATAAAGGATCAAAAGCAGTGTACGTATGGATAAGAAAGTGAATAATAAAATGATATCTACAAATTGGAAGGCTACGTGGGACATTATAGAAAGGCGTTTGGGTTCCGATGCGAGCTCCAGGTAGTGTACGCTGGTTCAGTCCCTCTCCACGCCTTTAGCTCCAGCTCCAGCTCAGAGTTCAGAGGGTCAAAGGTCAAATAGCATAATCCGCAAATAGGTCAGAAGTCACACGGCGAACACGCTGAGGGTGCTGGTCTGGTCCTTCAGGCCCAAGATGCTGTAGGCGATTCGTTTCAGATGCCCTGGCAGACGCACACCAATGTTTTTAATGTCCCTGGAACACACACGAGAATTCAAGGTTAATGTTAACGATGTTGAACATTACAGAAATATTATGATAGAAACAAGTCATTAAAGAGGCGGTATTTTACTTCTATGGTGTATTAACTTCTAAGATGGCATATTTAGATCACCATGTTATCTTCTATTGTTATTTTATTCACGTATTTTATAAGTTTCAATTTCATTTTGAAGTCTCCGCTCCCTTTGCTTTCCATGCTCCAGTTACTCCCCTCCAAAGCGCTATCACAACACAATCAGCGTGCATCCCGCTAATGAAACTACTGCACGTCACATCAGGTTTGGCAAGTTGTTGTGTACACTTTCATATCATAATTTTTGTATATTTATAGAGAAATGTCGTGCGGGGAGTATGGATGACGTAGGCTTGTGAGCAGAGAATTGGACAAAATCTTACAGTTAACCGTAAAAAGGGTTTGAATAGAGCCTGGGAGAGATCACTAAATTACTCAAACATGTATGGATGACATCTAAAACCCTCTTCAGCATGTTTTTGATGAGGGAACAATGTTATAATGTGGTAAAAATCTCCAAAAATCAGTTTCGTATAATACCCCCTCTTTAATATTGAAGGAATAATTAATATATAAACAAAAATATGGTAATATATAAACAAAAATAAGTAGTCCCACAATCAGGTCAAAGGAGTTTCAGTGTGTGAAATTGTGTACTAAAGACAAGTATCACTGCACTGCACAACAATAAGACAGTCTAAGAGAGCAGATATAGGTCATGTCAGAGTATCGTTTATCTATAAATAGCACAGGATATCAACAAGTACAATGCACAAGCACATGATGTCTTTTATACAGTTCAAAATGATAAAATAAAAGATTTTCAAAAGTAAAAAAGAAACAGCTCCATTATAATTATCCACTGAGGTGTAGTTTATGATAAAGACAATATTACTTCATCTTTTATCATGTAGTTCAAGATTTTCAATATGTAAATGTTCTAGTCTCTATGAATATTCTGGCAGTTACTTTTCCAACAAAATATCCTTTAGGCAATATTTGTGCAGTAAAGTAACATCCTCAAGATAAAACAGATTAAGGACCAAGCAAGGACCACACCAAAAACAAACGGTGACCTGAACATCTTCCAACTCAAATAAAATAACAACAAAACTAAAACTAAAATGGACACTGGGCACAAAACATCAAACAGCAAAATTGAAAATGTAATGTAATATATAGTTATAGTTACTCTGCAGTTATAGCCTATGATGTATAGAAAAAAAGAAGTCTAAATGTTCATTTGTCAGTAGAACAGTTTGGGACAGAAGGAAAGGGGTGGGGTTAAATAAGTATTTACTTCCTCCAACTCCCTTTTGGACATCAGCAAACTATGTGTGACAATTGCTTTTGTTTGCTTGTTACACCAAAGTAGGGACTGATAATGGCATGGAATATCAGTGCAGATACTGAAAAATTATCTGTATCACATATCGGTTTCATGATATCTGATGTAACAAGACTATTTACAGGCTGATTTTGGCCTAGAACGTCTCATAATTTTTGAATTTTTACTTATATCAAGGGCTTTAGTCATGATGTGAAGGATAATTAACAGTTGGGTAAAAAGTAAACAGTGTTTTAAGGAAATAGTACTATTTCCATCTACACTGGTACTGATATCAGCAGACATTTAGAGTTATAGTATCAGTATCGGGATTGGAACTGAAAAGCTGGATCGGTGCATCCCTACACCAGAAAAGTATTTATTTTTTGTATTATATATATACATTTATGCTTTTCTATGTATGTTTTATGCATTTATTCATTCATTCAACTTCAGTTTTTGCACCACTTGTGTTTCCCACACCATAATGTGTACCTAAATTCAGCCTATACTTTACAGTGTGTAAAAGTAACACTAGTTGTGCAGAGTCATCCATCATGTCCACACAGCCCTATCGGAGCCCAGTGTATGTGACAGTGTTCTTTTGAAGTGCTCCACATGGTGTGATCTGTGCCTCTGTTTCATCTGCATCTGGGAGCATTCTCCAGCTCGGCCCACATGCTATTTACTGCTCACCAGACAAACTCCTTCATGGTCAGCGAAGGATCCTCGTTAAGTCATTAAGACGATAATAACAGCCCTGCACTGCACCGCTGTGTTTAGGACTTCACAGTTTTAACATCATGTGTGAGCCCAGAAAGCCTCAGGATCTGTCTTCAAAGTTCACGATCGGAGAGTGGAGTCAGCTGGAGAGGCTGCAGGGCCAGGTGCAGGAAGGGGCAGAGAAGATAGTCTTATAGATACTGTATGGCGAGGAATTCTCAAAGTCACAAGTGGCGTGCTCTAGGGCTGAAGGATTTGCGTTTTTTCTGATATGCATTAAGGGTGCATTGTGTAACATTTCTGGTGGAGGCTCCCTCAATTGCTTTAAACCATGGAAATGTTATTGGTTTGTCTGGAATGTTTCACAGTTTGACATTAAACCTTTCTATCTTCATGGAGACCAAACCATACTAGATTACAACTCAGATCTGTGGAGAGGTAACCCCGCTCACAGTCAGAATGCCTGTTTTTCTAAGCATTTTTAAAACCACTTCCATCCATTTTCTTCCGCTTATCCGGAGCCAGATCGTGGAGGCAGAAACTGAGACTGCACAGCAGAGACTGAGCTCCTCATCCTATCTCTAAGGGAGTGCCCAGCCACCCTACGGAGGAAACTCATTTCGACCACTTGTAGAGCTGTTTAATGTCATACTCTGGAATATTTACAGGCAGAGCAATGACATATCCAAAGAAACAAGCAGGTGGCGGACTCTCCACCAGAAAAGTCACACAATGCACCTTTAATAAATTTTTATTCATTTAGTTTGCATTTTAAACGTATCCAGAAAAACTGACTAAAAAAAGACTGAAATATGAACTGACAAACTAACAAATGTTTGTAGAGATCGAAACTACAGGGTTTGCAGTTTTTATGTGGAATAAGACATTTTGTTGTTTGTGGAGGAAGTTATGTTTCTAAATTATGGTATTTCAAAAACTGTGGTCTTTGCGATTTGCTAATGGTGTCTATTCAAATTTCAGAAGCAATTATAGCAAAAAACTATCTCACTGTTTTATATTTATAATGGCAGAGAAAACTTAAAGAGTTTTCTGCCAGATATTCTTACATTTGGATAGGCCCAGCACTTATATTAGCCATAACACAGGACAAAAAATGGACAGTATAGGAATTATAGAATTTTGATTTCCCATGAACACAATCTATTTCTAATTTCTCAAAGTTTATTTCCTATAATCTCTTGCGACCCTGAACCTAAACCACTGCTGTACCCAATAATTTAATTCAAAAAAATATTCATGTAAAAATGTCAAATAAAGAGAATGGAAAGTATTTGGAGAAAGACGAGCTGTTTGGCATCGTTATAAAAATGGTCAAATTGTGGAGCGTCCTTCCTGTTCCATCAGCACATACATTAAGTTCAGTTTCCAAGATCTTTGCCATGTTCCTTTTAACTGTGGCTGTGACCCCAGGCCAAAACAACTCAGTAAACACTTTGTTGGCTTCTAGTACAGTCTAACCATACACTAGCATTTCACAAAGTAACACAAGTTGTAGCTTCAGTCACACCATTTAAAGGGCCAATATGACGCTATTTTCTGATCTGAGTTATGTGTTGTATGTTGTTTCCTCATCAAAAACGCACCTGGAGTTGTGTTTTGTTTCATTCACAAATGTTTAACACACAAACCCTGCATTTTTGAGGAGGTAACAGCATTCTAACGTGAGCTCATAAAAGTCAGTTTTGCATAATACAGGACCTTTAATGAAGTGCTGCAGATTTCATGCGGTTCATGTGATAACAGGATTCCAGTATTTTTCTTGCAGCAAAGTTATAATTGTCTTCTAGGGAACACACGCACAGTCAAAATGTTATATAATCTACCTTGTGCATTCCAAGCATCTTAATTATTCACTCATTATTTACTCATTATTTAAGAATTTGCTAACCACACATTTCCTGATTCTCAAAAACATCTTGTAATTATATAGTGACAGTACAAGGGACTTATTTTGACCTCAAGAGCTGCTTATACAATATATCTGTACTGGGGCAAGACCAAATTTGCACATATACATAAAAAAAATCGTAAATCAAACTCTTTATAACATTGTTTTTTGGCAATGAGGACAGAACATGGAGATTTCTACTGCCAAAATATTAAATTTTTGGCGTATTCCACGTTTTTGCAAGAGGTATGCCCCAACTCCTTCCAATCCTAATCCCAGGTTTATCCCATGGTCCTTGAATGTCACGCGTGATATAAAGTGTACATTAGTGATTAATCCCAGTTTGGTTGAGTGTGGTTCTACAGTGTCTCCTCACGTGCCCCTGGTCCGACCACGTCTCCGGATCTCAGGACTTCTTATGTGGTCTCTCCGAAGACCCTGGTTTTCGTTAAGTCTCCCAACCTTCTATTATGTGCTCAGCTAAAGCATCACTGCCCTAAAGGTTAAGCTCCACCATTACAGTCTCCCTTACACACAAGACCTTGCAATTGCTCCAAACTATGCCATTGTAAAGTTCACGGGGTGCATTCTGAGCTCACCTCCTCCATCTCTCAAAAGCATAGACATACCGACTTCCAGGCTCTGCTCTTGTCCATCTCCTCCAGCAGTATAATCCACCCGGGTCTACACTAGTGGTGGAAGAAGTACTCAAATGAAGCCTCCTAAGACCTCAAAATACACAAAATACTTTTACTTTTTACTCTTTAATTAAGTACATTTTCACCTGCTATGGATATTAGAGATGTAACAATATCCAAATCTCTCGGCATGATATTATCACAATATGCATCTCATTGTACAATATTTATTGCGATATTTTGGAGAGGCTAATATAATTGTAGATAGGACAAGATTTTGGTGTGAATTATTTCTGTCATAATTCCAAAAATTCAAGTAAAAAACATATCCATGTTGTTTGCACTGAAATGAATCATGGGATATGTAGTTTTCCAATGTTTATAAGCTGTTGCTTATAAAACCATGTATTTAAGCAAACAAACTTGTGACTCGATATATTGTGACGGCCCACGATATTATTGTGAGACTTTTGACGATATGATATCACGATATTTCAGTTATTGTTGCTCTGCCTGGAATGTTCCACAGTGTAACATTAAACAGCTCTACCTTATTTATTCAATTACAGGTGGATTTAAAGCTCAAAAAAAAAAAAAAAAAACAGGCATTCTGACTGTGAGCGGAGTTGCCTCTCCACAGATCTGACCTGTAACTTGGTCTGGTTTGGAGTCCATGAAGATAGAAAGATTAAATACCATCCTGTGAAACATTCCAGATAAAGAAATAACATCTCCATGGACCCTCCACTAGAAAAGTTATACAATGCACCTTTAACTATAGTATTTTCCTACTTTTACTTCATTAAGTTCCAACACTGCTCTACGCCATTTTAAAGTCGAAGACCCGTGCCCCCCCATGGGCCACAATTCTAAGTGAGCGTCCTGTAGCATTGGCCAAATACAAGCCCCAAGCGAGGGATGAGACCAGAGAGGAGAGAGAGGAGGACAAACCACAGACCGCAAATCAAGCCCTCCTCCCACATTAGTTTTTCCATATCAACTATTTCTCATGTTGTGTGGAAATACTTGTGTTGGCTGCAACTTTTAGGTTACTTTTGGGAAAACACAAACCGCTAAAGGAGCACATTCTTATGCTAAGTGCTGGCTCCCATGAGTTGCATAATAGGTCTCAGATTAGAATAGGTTACTTATTACTGATGGCAAATTACAGTACCGCTGAATTCTCTGTCTAAGACTAATCTTACTTGACTCCAACAATGCAAGGTCATAATGTACTGAAATGTCAAATGTTTATATATAAAATGTGAGTTGTATGCTGTTATATTCTATACAAAGACAGAGAGTCATACATTAACTACAAACATCTTGTTTTGTATGCTAACTTAGTTTTTGAGTTCAACTTTTAACATGCTTGGTTTGGAATTCTGAATATTTATCCAATGTTTCCCTTAGATTTGGTTCAGACAAATACTTTTTACATTCTTTCATACCCTTTGGAGTTTAAATGTCACTTATTGCCTGTATCGTATTTTAGCAGTCTTTTTAAACAGTGTAATTACTTTTTATGTTATGTATGAAGCAACTAAAGCTACATTTAGACTGCAGCCTGAAGTGACCCAAATCAGATTTTTTCGCCCCTATGCGACCTGTATCTGATCATTTAATGACAGTCTGAATGAGGCAGATCTGATTTTTTCAAATGTGATCCAGGCCACTTGGCTATGTGCTCCTAAATCCGTTCTTTTGACATGCGACTTCAGTCTGAACGGCCAGGTCGCATTCATCCCATCTACACGTCAGGCTCAGAGTCTTGTCAATGGAGGGAAAGCGAGGTCAGAGAATTCATTCATATTTGGGGGGAATGCTGTATTCAGACTAAATTGGAGGGGTCTTATCGGAACTGGGTGGTTTTTGAAATGATTCCCAAAGAAATGGCCTTGGCTCCAATGTGCCAAGAGCCTCCAACCCAAATACAAGGAGGCTAAAGACTCAAACAAACGAAGCGGCCGTAGACATGTAACCTGTCCATTTTACGGAGAACTGGACCTTATTTTGGGAGACAAGCCCAGCGTTTAGGCTGCTTCCATAAACACTGAGCACACTCGTTGCGTGTGACGTCGTCGTGTCCAATGCACATGCAGGACATTTTTGGGGCGTTTAAAGTTCACACTGGAGACCACATACAAGTCGCATTTAATTGGAAATGTGAATGACCTTGCAAAAAGGATTTCATAAAAAAATCCGAATTGAGCATTAAGCCCTGCAGTCTGCACGTAGCTTAAATGAAATTTGATTATGCAAAAGTCTAGTCCATGTCCATTTTAGACTATGAGGGAGAAATTTCGACTATGAGAGGCCACTATAGTCTTTTCTATTATTGAGAAAATCTGTCACGTGTTCTTTCAAAGTAAACTAAAGTGGTCCTAGGGTTAGCCTTTGTGGAATAATAATGGTAATGTAGCTATACAATGAAGGAGCTATTGTAGTTTTTTAACACTTTCTGAAAAGATCTGGATAAACTGGACACTGACAGAAGAGAAACACACAACATCTTTGAAGAAGACTAAATAAATACATATATATACACCCCAATGTGGCATCTTAAAACATTTGAGCATGTATGAAAATTTGAATGGCTTCCAATTTTGGCTGATATAAACATACACCCAAATTAAAATGCATATACAGCGATCATAAAAAGAAAACAACAAAAGGTATAACTGCTAAAGGTTTGCTCATACTAATCCTAAAACAATAAAACAAATATAAAATTGACTGAAAGCAAACCGTAAAATCATAAAATAGCAATAAGTAAAATAAATAAAAGTCATGATATAAAAAGACACTTACTCATTCTTCATCTGCAGAACCTGGTCCATGGTGACGACTCCAGCGCGGCTAAAGTTCTCGCTGTACTGGCTCATCTTGATGGACTCCAGCCATTCTGGAACTGACCTAAAGGGGGAGCCGTCCGAGCCGCTGGTGCTGGGGAGGCGGATGGATACGCTGCAGAGGAAGAGAAAAGTAGTTCCAAATGACAATAATCAACAGGCTTATCCACAACAAAGGCACAGCGCTGAGGTCGGTAATTACAGAGCTGGAACCGGTGTGGTAATAAAAACCAGTTGGTGCAGTTGGAGAAAGGCCATAAGACAGGCGCTACCTTTCACGTCTTTTACTGAGCTCTGAGGAAATCTTAATGTCATGGAGGTGTGCCAGTATTTCTGCAGATACTTATCACATTAACAAAATACAGTTTCATATTTTTGTGCACCCTCACTAACACTTTTTGGAAACAATATATCTTATCTTGATATATTCTAATAATAAAAATAAAATAGATATATGTGGCATTGCAGGTATGTTTTTTTTTTTTTTCACACTTCCACATTTTTTTATTTTTTATTTTGTGCCATTTCCTTATTAAATTTTAAGCAATATTTGGGATTTGTAATTTAATGTGAATTACCTTAAAGGGAATATTTTTAAATCATTTTTATACAACAGAGAATACAAAATTTTTATAATGTTGTATTATCATTTGTTTTTGTTTTATTCACATGTTTTAACACACAAATCCTGCATATTTAGGTACCATCTTTGTAATTTTTTTGTATTTTCTGTATTTGTATTTTTATAAATCTATCTACATTTTATCACTCGTTGAGTGTCAGACCTAGACAATACTAAGTCCAAGCCCCTTCAAGACCGAGAAAAGACCGAGTCCAAGTGCCTTCAAGACCAAGATAAGACCGAGTCCAAGTGCCTTTAAAACAGAGACAAGACCGAGCCCAAGCGCCATCTAGATACAGACAAGACCGAGCCCAAGCGCCATCAAGACTGAGACAATATCAAGTCCAAACGTGGTTGAATTTAAGACAAGGCCAAGACCACAAAAAATGGTCTCGAGGCAGGTCTCAAGACCAAGACCAGTCTTGAGTACTGCAACCCTAATGTAGACAGACAACTAAGAAATTATTACTCAAACAAGTGTGAATGGAACAAAACACCACTTCATATATTTTTGACAAGGCAACAATATTATAACATGGCTTAAAGCTCACAAGAATCAATTTCGTGTAATATAGCACCTTAAAAAAAATAAAAAAAAATAAATAAATAAAAAACATCAGATCCAGTAACTCCGCAAAACTGGCATACTGGTGTAGTCAGCACACATTTGACCCATTACCCCTGGGGCTAAGTGTCCTAACAAGCGGCCATCTTAAAACCATTTACACTATAACTAGCTGTGCTGCCATTACATTGTAAACGCATGTGGCTAGCTCCGTCTGAGTGAGTTCTCTTCTGTATTCGAGCTGAGTCACCCACGAGCGCTCCATAGGTCAGACCAGACACAGTGAAGACCAAATTACACCAGTTTGAAAATGTCACATCAAATTTAATCTTCAGCGGAGCGTGTAATATCGCATAACTCAGCCATATGTGGGCCTGTGGTTAGCGTGAAGTTGTAGAAATCAGTGATAACCTAAGTGCAGATGTATAAAAGTTGGGATCCGAGGCCTACTCCATTTCAGCTAAGCGATCTCAGCTGTGGGTCCACATTTAAATTCTTGGCCCAATTTTGAATTGTTTTAAACTGGAACAGGTCCAAAATCAATTCCCATAAATACTGAATGAGGCATGTACTCAGAGTCTCAAAGCGTAACAACTCAGGGTCATCAAAAATGTGTAAAAACAATAACTATTATCGTATGGAACTATTAAACTGGCAAACCGTCCTATTTCGAGCAATTTGACTGGTCTTTCAATTGCTTTTTCTTGCAACCAGATACACAGGCCATACAAATTAGAGGAATAACCACACCCCTTTAGACTATTAGTTACAAAGGTCCAACTGGATTTTTACCAAGTTAAATTGCTTGGGAACTGCATTACAGATAGGAAACAGTTTTAGCTTGATTCTGACCCAGTGTTTCAAAGCCGAAGAACCGTGACACACCACATCATTTTAATGCAATTTCCTTTAACAATTACAGTTATTTTTATCGTTGTGTTAAAATGATACTGCTAATGGTCTGGTTAGCCATTATGTTGTAGCGTAAGGCTGTCGCTACTTACGGTTTTACTACTTAAAGTGCCCATATCGCATTATTTTCAGATCTGTGTTGTAATGTTGTTTCCTCACGAACAGACCAGGAGTTTTGTTTTGTTTCATTCACACGCTTAACACGCAAACCCTGCACTTTTACCTGTGTTCTTCCCTCAAACTAAATAGAAAAAGTGATTCACTGTGTTCCATACACTTTCACTAGAATCTTCTACATGATTTCAGCCCTGGATTTACCACAGAACTAATCCCCACTGAATTAAAGGTAAAAGGTTGCTGTTAACTTGACAACTACCTCTTCATGACAACACAAGGTGGATTTTGAGGATTTTGAGCTTTGGAGATGTAAACTAATAATAAAGATTACTCAAACATATGTGAATCAATGAAAACACAACTCCAAGTATGTTTTTGACGAGGTAACCGCATTATAACCTGGCTTAAACGGCTCAAAAGACTCAAATTAGCATAACATAGGACCTTTAACGGTATAACGGCTTAACTCAAACCAACTCAACTTTATTTCTAGATCACCTTAAGAACAACACAATTGAGCAAAGTGCTGTATAAAAACGTAACAGAATGCATAACAAACTGTGACAAATGGTAACTAGTCAACCCACAAACTGAGTTAAAGCCCAGGAGAAAAGATGAGGCTTTAGGAAGGATTCAAAAACAGGGTGTGACTCTTAGGCCAGCCTAACAGACAGAGGGAGCTGATTCCACAGTCTTAGAGCACCCACTATAAACACAGTCACCTCTTTGTTTTTCTTGGTCTTTGGGACGTGGAGAAGAATGCACGAGAGGGTGTGTGAGGTACAAGCAGATTGGACAGATACTGAGGGGCCATTTTGAAATCAAAGTGAAAATGCACAGGGGGACAGTGAAGAGTTAAGAGGGAACGGGTATGGTTTAATTGTCACACTATTAGGTTATCACTCAGGAATTTTAGATTAACACAAATTTTTTATATTTTTTATTTGAATATTCTACCACCAAAAACCAAAAATCCTTTCGTTACGATAAAACATATAATCTTTCAGTTTATGATACAGTTTGTCGCTCTTTAAAAATATAAACCAACTGTGTGTAAAATCCTTCAGTCATTCAGGTAGAATCCATAGCAAAAGGAGAAATTCAATTTGTCAACTGGACAAAAGTTTTATTTGGTTGAATACGTTTTGCAATCTGCTTCTTCAATTTATGGTCAGATGCTGGTGGACACTTCCTTATAACTTCCTGAAAGGAGAAGCTAACTACAATGAAACTACTTTAAAACTAAAACATCTACTTGTTTACAGTTTCTGCATGTTAGCTATGCCTATTGAACTTGCACTGCGTGTGGGGTCATATTAGTATAATCATTCAGGGCCATAATGGAGCTTTCACACCTCTGGGCCTGATCTGGTTATCCATATTGTTTTCTTTGCTTGTTTTGATTTAGATGAGGATGGAGTTGTAAATAGGAGATAGATGGTGTCTGAGTCCTCAGTTTCTGTTTAAAGAAGGATTCTCTTTCTTGACAAAAATAGCTTCTTTAACTCCCCTCTCAAACCAATTCTTTTCTCTGGCTCAGATCTGTCCCTCACAATCTTCAAAGGAGTGGCCCGTGGCTTTTAGGTGGAGATGTACAGAAGACTGAGGTCCACTATTGCTCTCTCGTCTGTGTTGGTACATCCTCTTGTGAAGTGGCTGTCTTCACTACACTGAATGGAGTAAGCCACATTGCTTTGTTTGTGGCTCTGTGTTACATAATATATAAACCAATTAGTGTAAAAAGAAAGAAAAAAGTCTTGTCTTATAATAATATATAATCCTTACCATTATATGAAATCTGTTCTGACCATGAGGAAATCTAATTAACACCTCAGACTAAATAAGAACCTGATATAAGCTTATTCACTCCGGTGTGGACGCTGGTAGCAGCTGTAGGTCACATTTACACAAACACACAAGTATCTGAAGTTTAAATAAATCTTACCGTGGGTCGAAGTCTGCGATGGTCTTCAGGGAGTCGGGGCTCCGGAGCAGTTTGTCCAGCAGAGGGACGATGTCTCCGAACTTGGGCCTCTTGGACCGGTCCTGGAGCCAGCACTGGAGCATGAGCTGATACACCGCCGAGGGGCAGTCCATGGGCGCAGGCAGACGGAAGGCCTCATTTATAGCTTTCATCACCTATAAAAAGACAAATGACAAATGCAGGCTTTACTACACATTTTCATTGGAACCAAATACATGTAGTAGTGGAACATAACAAAGTAAAAGTAGTAAAGTACTTAAGTATACATTTTAGGTATCTGTACTTTACGTATAAGTATTTTAGTGGATGGTTTTTTTACTTTTACTTCACTAACATTTGAAAGCAACGTATCTGAACTTCATAAGCCACTACATTTTTTAACAGAACTGAAAAGTAAACATATTTTTTATTACTGTTTGAGGCCTGCTGAAAAGGCTAACGGTTTGTTTTTAACACATTCATAATTTGAGCAAACATAAATACACTTTGTTAAGTTCCACCACTGAAAATAAATTGTATATTTCATCCATAATTATACTTCTAGAGAAAAATAAACATCAAATGCATATTTTACGGTGCATATTAAATGGAATTCCACCAAACAAACAATGTGAAAAGGACATGTCAAACAAAGTAGTTCTGCCCATATTGATGAGTACATGGAAGCAGCTCTCACCTCATGGTTGCTCATGTCCCAGTACGGCCTCTCTCCAAATGCCATCACCTCCCACATGACGATACCAAAGCTCCACACGTCACTGGCTGAAGTAAACTTCCTGTACGCAATGGCCTCTGGGGCTGTCCAGCGGATGGGAATCTTACCTCCCTGTGTGCAAACAGAAACAACCGAAATCATGTTAATTAAATTTTAACAAAAAAATCAAACTACTGAGTAAATATTTAAAGGTTCTTGTGTGTCATGCAGTGGTAGTTGTCAAGTAAATTTTTTGTTGGTACTCACGCTGGTGGTGTAGGTGCCTTCGGGGTCGTCCTCCAGCACTCGGGACAAGCCAAAATCGGACACTTTACACTCCATCGTGTTGTTGACCAGGATGTTACGCGCCGCCAGGTCTCTGTGCACGTAACTCATATCCGAGAGATACTTCATCCCTGCAGCAATCCCACGGAGCATGCCCACCAACTGGAAGGATGAAAACTCCCCATCGTGGTCCTGGACAAGTCAAAAAGTGTGAAAATGTGAATATTATTTTATATATATTATTATTATATATTATTTTTTTGTTGCTCTTTTGAATGTTTTGTAAAACGTCTTTAAGTGTCATGAAAAGCGCTATATTAATAAAATGTATTATTGTTTTTTATTATTATTAGAGTTGTCAAAAGTATCAAAAATCAGATACTAATCAACACTAAAACTAATATCGAAACTAGATACTCATTTGTACAAGTATTGATACTGCAAAAATCACATTAATAGGACAAAATTGTGCAATTTCCTGAACAGTTTTGAACTTTTTGTGCCATTTTGAGCTTTATCAGAATTAGTATAAGATCCCATGGCAACAGACTGTCAGATGTCAACAGAAATTTGGGGGCCTGGAGCAAAAAGCCTCACACAAGCCCCCTTCTAATATAAGCATTTGTCCCCTCTGTCTACTGACCTGCATGGTTACATAAGAGTACTGTAGCACACATAATGCTAAAAGGAAATCTATTCAGCTCTGGAATCAAACAGTATCTGATCTTAAATCTACCTTTATTTTAGCAAGTATTGAGTGGCTAATACCTCCTAAATTGAGACCATTGAGTGGTTAAGTCATATTGTTGTCTGAGTTTGTCTAAGCTTAATGGGCACAAATGGGCACTAATCTTTTCATTTAATTTAATTTTTTGTCCTGGACCTGTTCTGTTTGTTTGTATATTGTTTATTTGTTATGCCAAAAAACAATAAACATTTGGTAACAAAAAGAAAAGTACTATGTGTGCGTGTATGAAAATTATATCCTGTTACTAATAAAGAAGTAGCATGGTTTATCTTCATTGTGGTATTGTAATTGAGTAATGAGTCAGTTCCTTTTGAAATTTTAGTATTGTGACAACACTAGTATTAAAAGTTGGTTAAATATTTAAACAATGTGGTAGTAATATAGTTTTACCCTGAGGAAGCGATCCAAAGCTCCATTCTCCATGTACTCTGTGACGATCATGGCGTGTTTGACTGCACAGAAAACAAACACGTGTCAAAATGTGGACCTCATTGACAGTTAAAGAGTCTATAACAGGTTCAGCTACTCATAATTTTCCTAAAAAAATGTTAAGATTATTATATTTAAGATTTAGCAAAAACATTCACACTCATTTTCCCAATTAGGCAATTTTTTTGGCTTAAAATTGTATTTCCTGTTTGGAATCACATCACCTCACCCTAGAGAATTATATAACTGTTACCTAGTCCTCTAATGTACACACAAGGTATTATCTGACAAATACAAATAAAACAAAACACACTTATTCTGTTGAAATCATGTTTAAAGTATCAAAAAAGTGTTTATTATAGGTGTAAATTTTGTTGAACCTTTGGACTGAGTCCCAGTGTGATATCATCAGTGTGTTTCAACTCTCTACTTCCTTTAATTTTCAACATATTTTTAAACTTTTCTTCACAAATTGTGTCTTTCTTGGTGTAAAACTATAATTTAGTAAGTCGAAATTAAGTTAAAGAAAGTCAAAATGAGAGAATCATGAAAATGCAGTGACAGTGTGAACCTACATTTAGTGACCACTCCTTCCAGACGTATGATGTTCTGGTGGGAGAACTGGCCCATGATGGAGGCCTCGCTCAGGAAGTCCTGCCTCTGCTTCTCGCTGTAGCCTGGTTTCAGGGTCTTTATCGCCACGGCAACCTCTTTCCTCCCAGGAACCTTCAGGTTTCCACGGTAAACTTCACCAAACTCCCCTGCGGGCATCATAATATGACATTTACATCTCACAGCTTTGTTGCAAAAACTAGATGTATGCCAAATTATAGCATTATTATAATTCATAGGGTTAAAGGGCCTATATTACGCTGTTTTCTGCTCTGATCTATGTTATAATGTTGTTTTCTCATCACAAACATACCGGAGTTGTGTTTTGTTTCATTCACACATGTTTAACACACAAACCCTGCATATTTAGGCTGAGTTCTTCTCTCTAAACTACACTCCACAAGAATCATTTGGATGATTTCAACCCTGGCATTATTCTGCTGAACTAAAGGTCAAATTTAGCTGTAAATTTTAAAACTACCGCTTCATGGCATCACAAGGTGGAAGATTCAGAAAACAAAATGACAGCTGGAAAGCAGCCATACAGTTTCAGCTTAATAGACAGAAGAAGGAGTGCTGTAAAATGAGCTTGTCTTTACATGCTATGTCTAAATAGAACACATGACATTGTGCAACACTTATACAACCTGAAATCATCAAAATACAGTTTAAAATCTGAAAAAATATACATGCAAATGTCTTTATAGATACATTCAAAAGCTTCAATGCTAGAGGGTGATAAGGTATAGCCATAGACTGTATATATACTGTAAATAGTAGGGATGTAACAATAACCAAAATATCTTCTCACAATAATATTGTGGACCATCACAATATATCAAATTACAAGTCTCTTTGCTTAAATTAAGAGTTATGGTGCAGCAATAGCTAAAAAAGACAGTGGGAACTACATAGACCATGATCCTTTGCTCCATTTCAGTGTAGACTACAAGAAGAAATAACAGTTCTAAGCACTTTTAAGTCTTAGTTCTTTGGATTAAGTCCTGTTGAGGCATTTTAAGAGTTATTGTTATTATTATTCACAGTTTTGTTAGCTCCACAAAATATCACAATAAATATCGTACTGTGAGATGTATATTGGGAAAATATCGTACCAAGAGATTTGGATATTGTTTCATCCCTAATCATGAGCCTCGCCATCATATTGTGAGCTTTCCCACAATATCTCAATAAATATTGTACCGTGAGGTTTATACAGTGACGATATCGTATTCTGAGACTTGGATATCGTTACAACCCTAGTAAATAGACATAGCTAACCTGCTAGTTGCTGCGTTCCAAATAGGAAGTAAGCATGGAGGAAGCTTCCAGCTCCATCAACTCTGGCTCCAGTTGACTCTTAAAACTACTGCTGTGAGCTTTGTCATTTTGGTCTTAAAATGTTTGTATTAACCCGCTCTACATGAGCCTGGTGTTTTTTATTTCACTATTTTGTCCAGAAATACTTAACCTTAAATACTTAACCTTAAATACTGGAACCACACTCCCTTTTAGTCCACTTCTTTATACAGTCAATGGGTGTACCTAAATGACTGAAGCTCTGTTACGCATACAGAACAATATCAGGTCACAGGTTTACACTACCTCCATCCTGACAATACAAGTACTCACAATGCTCTGGTTAAACCATGTATATTTTGTGACATTATTTGTAAATTGTAAGCACGCTGAGCCCTGTTTGCGGTACATATTTCTGGCCTGTTGACAGAGATTTGAGAACAAGGCGTGTGAGGCCGCGTGTGTCTGCCCCGGAGGTGTTCAGAGGGCGGGCGGCGGGCCTCAATGTAGCCATGGGAATCAGCTGTCACATGAACCCAGCCCGTGTCTGTGGGAAACAGGGAGGGGAGGGGCTTTTGCGAGCGCCTCTGGGTTCAGGGGGTAAAGGTGGTCACACTTCACTACACCGATCCTATAAGAGATCTGCAGAGGAGGGCTTAGGTACCTCCTTAAAAAACAAAACAAAACAAAACAAAAAAAAATACACCTTTCTTTGAAAATCACGCAACCTGAAACCCTACAAAACAAATGTCACAACTTGCTATGCGGGAATGGCCTGACTGACACAGGACTGATCTCACACCAGGCGCGTTTACAAGGGGATTCCACACACTTAGAGATCAGTCAGGGCCATGGTAAAATGTCTCGGTATTTGTGTGCAGAAGTGGGTTTTAAAAACACTGTTCCACCTTGTGAGGTCATGTGCTCCACTGTGTTTTCACTACAATCATTTGGATGACTTCAGCTCTGGAATTTTCTATATCTACTGACTATATATTTATTTTTAATTTTTTTATTCAGTCATTTTGCAGCAATACACAACAAAATAAAACAAAACAAAACACAGACTACAAACCCGTGGATAATAACCGAAAGGGTTTAAGCTGAAGTAAAACTCTATTAAACAATGACAGAAATCCAAGAAAAAAAGGCAATCGTATGAACACCAAGTTTACATTTACAATTTCATTTACCACTTACTGTATATATAAGAGACGAAATATAAATTAAAACAAACAAAATTTATTGCATATTTTATTAATTCCAGAGCTCTATATCTGCTTTATACTCTTTTTTTAAAGGCTTCAACAGTGTTAGACTTTAAAAAAAAATCATCACTCAGATCATTCCACCAAGAAATACAATCACCTTTTTTTTTTAACTTTTTTTTTTTTTTTGAGTTCTTATCTTCATTTTTTTAAAGATGCCAGTTTTGTTTTCGTTTACGGTTGCACAAATCAACAATAATGACAAAGAAGGCAGAAAATTAATCTGTAAAAGGTAGCGCCTTACGTGAAAACTACCACTACACGACATCACAAGTTGGAACAGAGCATATTGAGCTTTGCAGACAGTCTAATAATAAAGGATTACTCAAACATGTGTGAATGAAACAACACCAACGTCAGGTATGTTTCTGATGAGGTAACAATATTCTAACATGGCTTAAAGCTCGCACGAGTCAATATTGCGTATTATTAAAAAAAAAAAGAAAAAACACCTTTCTTAGTAAATCGTGCATGCCGAGACCATACAAAACAAATGTCAGCTTTCTGTGCGGGATCTGCTTGACTGACAGAGGACTAATCTCACCAAAGTAAGCACTGTCACCCGAGCTGTGAAGCTAAAACACACTATCCAAACACACTCTGGCGGATTGGGCAGGTCTCCACCGAGCTTCACTCACCGGCTCCGATCACCTTCTGTTTGGTGAGATGGTTGGGGTGGATCTCTGTGGCAAACTTCATGACGGCAGTGTTGGGGTCTTCGTAGGTGTGGGGGTCCACGTAGGTCTTCAGAGGCTTCAGTTGTTCTGCAAAACACACCAGGCGCGTTTACAAGGCGGTTCCAGAAGTGGGTTTTAAAAGTTATATTTACTCAGTTACATTTACTTGAGTAACTTTTTGAATGGTTTAATGGGACTCTTAATTGAGTAAAGTAAGTTCTAAAAAAAAAAGTATTTGTTTAATGTTAAAGGTGCTGTACCAGATTTTTACCACCTTTAAAAAATAATAATAATAAATAACTAGTTAATTTTAAAGTTATTATTCATTTATGTTATGCATTCTGAGCATCCTAATTATTTACAAAAGCTTTTCAGAAATTACAAACATGAGAGGAGAGTTTGCTGTCACGATAAAGCTAATAACGACTAGAATGCTACAGCACACTTTCTGATTCTTGGACAGTAAAGCACATTATAATTAAATCGAGACATGTTTACTATGTGTTTTGACCTCAAGAGCTGCTTATTTAATATATGCTGTATGGGGGAAAGACAATTTTGCTCAAATTGACACATGTGAGTTGTGTGGTCCTCTGTGTCTTTTATTTATTTTAATTATTTATTTATAGTTTTTATGTATTTTATTTTTTTAGTACTGCTTTAATGTATAGATTTTTTATTGATTCTATTAGTTTACTTTTTTATTTTATTTTTTATTTTTCTATTTATTTATTTTAATTTTTTTACGTAAAAGGATTTAATTGCTATATAAAGCACTTGGGAAACGGTCTTGTTTATAAAATGTGCTATACAAATAAAGTTGGATTGGAATGAAATACATGGGGAAAAATACTGTGTTTTTCAGAGCCCCTAAAAACCACTGTATTCTTTGGAAATACCAGAATTGATGCTTTATTTTTATATTTGTTTATTTGATCCTGAATCAAATGTTACTTAGTACGTTTTTCACCACCACATATTTTTTTAATCTTGCACATGAATTATTTGGGGGATTGCTTTTTACTTCTTGGTAATCCTGATAATATTATTCACAAAACCAAAGCCACTTTAAACCATTACGCAATGTAATGTACACAGTATAGGTCTTTGTTTTAATGGACTACAAACAATATTAAAATATGTCAGTAGACTATAGGTACTGTATATTCTGTCTTGAAGCGCATTAGAAGTTGTACCTGAGCTGGAGAAGTACGTGTCCTCTGGCCCTTGTCTCACATGAGAGCCTCTCTTTCTGTAAAAAAAAATAACAAAAAAACACACACACACAATTTACTTCAAATCATCAAAGTAAGATAATCCCCAAACTTCTTCTTTTGTACATTAACTTCTTGGGTTCTTTTTAAAGGCAGAATACAGTGATCTCTGGACATTTTAAAGACAGCAACAAGATAAATATGTTCCTTACTGTACTGTTTTCAAAAAGAACATAAAAAGTTAATCAAAGCAAGCTCAGCATTGTACAGATATCATTAGCAGTGTAATCTGGAGCACACAGAAATCTTTGTAAAACCCTGTAAAGAATTCCACTGCTGCCACTCCACATTATTTAAAGAAAGCAGCGTTTTTCATACAAGTGTGTTTTCAGAAGTGAATTAGAGGCTGCGTCGGTACTGTCTGAACACGGGTCATCTCTACAAAGCTTTTCAGAGAGAGCAAGCTCCTTATCATCACAATGTCCCACTCCCACTCGCTTCCTTCCCCAACGCGCGCGGCAGAATAAACCCGGAGTAATGACAGGGCCCATTCAGCACTGAGCCCTCCGGAGCGGCCGCTGGTGCACACTGGCAGATAAAAGCAGGGCCAAAGGGGAGCTGAGGTGAGAGGGAAAATCTCCACAAAGGAAGCTCGCGGAGAATTAGACAGGAAGTGGGCTACAGCGGCGCAGACAGGAGAGAGGGGGTGCGGGGTAACTAACCGTCTGCGCAGGAACAGCACCACAGCAACAATGAACAACATGGCGGCTCCTCCCAGCGCTGCGCCGAAGATGACGGCCGTGTTGCTGGTGGTGAGGGAGTCTACTGAGGAAAACAGAGAGGAAACAGGGTCAGGCAGTTCACACGTGTAGCCATGATATTATATGAAAACATTTGACGGCTGTTTGAGTGAACAATAACAATTGGAGTTGATACTTTGCAGTGATGTCATGCTGAGGGTGTTCTACGTGTATATCTATTGGCAGAATGTTCATCAGTGACCATGGTGACACAATGGACACACTAGCAAACACGGACAAAAACTCAAGAAAAAGTAATACAAAATGGATTTAAACAACACATTTTCAGGAGGTTGTGATGAAAAACTCTGAAAAACTCTTGGCTTCTGACCTATAATTTTTTTTACTTTTTTTAAGGACACAAATTATCTCACCTATTTATTCCAACCAAGTCAGTTGCTTTCTGGTCAGATGGTGTAAAAATAGAGCTTATATTTTGTCTAATTTAGGTAATAGAGCTTCTGACAGAGGAGCGCTTTCAGTCAGTTTGCAGATTTGCACTCCTAGAGAATGTTAATAAGATTAGCTGCAATTAATCAACATGCATAAATGACATGCAAGAGCTTTAAAGCATGTGATAGTGCTGTCCCTGCATCATTAACTCTCTTAAAGTTGCATTTTGAGTGATTCATATAAACAGGGGCATATTTGACTTTATTGTCCAGTGTGTACCTTCAGAGGAGGTCTCAAACTGCTCCTCCATGCTGGATCCATGGCTGCCATCAGACCCCACCGCCTGCAGCTTGAACAGGTAGGCTGTCCCAGGGGCTAAGTCACTGATCTGCACTGAGTTCTTCTCCAGGATCAGGACCGTGTATGTGGTTACATCTGAGTTTGCATCCTGTAACACATCAACACCAGCCTGTTTAGAACAAAACAGTTTGAGCTGAACCACAGTTTATAATACAGAGTATACAGGAGATTAGGGTCTCACATTCTTGCGGTACATGAGCTCGTAGTGGAAGGCACGTGGTGCGGTCCGGGCTTTGGAGGACACTGCCCAGGACAGGGATAGGCTGGTGGGCGTCCTCTCTACCAGTCTCATGGTGGTGATCTTTGGAGGCTCTGAGAAGGAAAGAGTTTACTGTGTGAGAAGATTGTACATTTGTAAACACAGGAACATATGAAGTAGACTGGATATATGTAAATATAGTCATTATTTATATATGTAAAGTTAAATTATTTGAAGGCACATGAGTGAGATAGCACTGTTAATATAAAACAGCCTTAAACTGTGGGAGAGCCCATCACTTCCACACTGACAAAGATCTCAGATTATGGAATGTGGTGGATCTCACAGCAGCACTATCTCACAATATTGTGGGGAATGTATCATGACAGTACAGTTTGGTGAGTTGTTGTGGTTTCCAGCTGAGAGCAGACAGAAAATGGACTTATCTCACTTCCTGCTCTCATTTGGATGCAGAGGTAGCTGTGCACAGATAGGATCAGTGTTTGTGGCACACACCTGTGTAGTGCAGGGAGGTGGTGAGGGCGGAGGTGGAGGGCAGCTGCTGTGCGTACACAGACACTCCACTGTGAGCCTCCACACTGAAGGTGTAGTTGAGATGAGCGTCCAGCTCACTCACAGACACGCGGGTGTCAGTGAGCCCGGTGTTGCTCGGGTCAAAGCGGATCTTCTCTCCACAGGCCTGGCACACAGACCCATCACAGCGCTGGCACTCCACACTGTAGGTGATATCAGAGCGTCCCCCAGTGTCCTCCGGGGGGCTCCAGGACAGCTGCAGCTTCCCTGCAGATATGGGGCTGGCCACAAGGTCCCGAGGTGCTGACGGGAGCCCTGCCCAGAGAGACGGTTACGAGAAGTTAGAACACAGTGCAACTTCACACCAAGTTGCACTGTGTTCAGTCCAAGTACTGCTGGTAGAGAGGCAGTGTGTAATAATGAAACTATAAAACATAATCAATATGTCAACAATATATATGCGCACACCCATTTTTATTTCAATAGCACTGCACTTTTACACTACCATTACTATGATTAAATGTACTGTGATGCACTAAATAGAATAGTGACAGTGCCTTAAAATACAGACTAATATTTGTAGACAGCGCTTCACCTGAGCAGGGGTCAGTCTCTAGGTCGGTGGGGGCCCTGTAGAAGCCCTCGAGACAGGTGCAGGTGGCTGCTCCTGTCCCTTGCTTCTGGGTGTTGGCAGGACATGGCTGACACCTGTCACCGGATGCGGTCGGTTTGTAGAAGCCCTGTGGACACTCTGCAAACACAGACAGGACAGGTGCATGAGCAGGTGACAGTTAAAGGACACATACTACATCCTCTGTCCTCCTCTGATGTAGGACACAGAAGGAATAGAGCACAGAAGGACACGTGAGGTAGTCTGCTCTGTTGATTCTTCTCACTAGAGCTCCTTCCTGCCACTCCTTCACGAACTTATCAACCTTCTAAGAGCTGCTCCTCTGCTGTCTTTCTCAACAAACACAACCTGTCATCCTGCATTCCTCCGCTCCCAGTCAGGCCTCAGAACATATACTCCTCTCCTTTTACTCCTACAACATTTTCACAGGGCAAAATCACTCTAGAAAATTCTGCAAGTAATAACAGTAACTTTCCTGGTGGAGGGTCCATCAAAAGCTTTTCTTCATGGAAATGTTATTGCTTTGTTTATAAAGTTTCACAGTATAGCGTTAAACCTTTCTATCTTCATGGAGATCAAAACAGACCAAGTTACAGGTCAGATCTGTGCAGAGGCAATCCCGCTCACTGTCAGAATGCCTCTTTTTCTGTGTATTTTTGAGCTATAAATCACCTGTAACTGAATAAATGTAAGGTAGAGCTGTTGTCATATTGTGAAACATTCCAGACAAAGCAATGACGTTCCCATAGAACCAAACAGGTGTCTGACCCCCAAGCAAAAAGTTACACAATGCACCTTTAAGGCAATAACGCTAAAGTTTGAAATGTTTACACAATATATTGAAGTGGCTTAATGTTTTACGCATAGGTTTGTGTTCGGCCTTTAACCCTATAGTCACTATCCGAATCCCTCCCATTCAAAACTATTATACTCCCCAACCTAAGCAGTCATAACATTGTTTTTGGGAAATCAATATGTCAAAAGAGAGTTTATTCTGTGTGTCAATAGCGTATCCTGCTCTCTATTGGATCATTTGTACTGTATTCATGGTATTCAATAGTTCTTTAACCTACTACCATGAGCTCCACACCCATCCACTGCGACTTGAATAGAGAGATCAGTTTTATTATTAGAAGTGAATAAAAAGAAAAAAATAATGAAAAAGAATGATTAATGACTGTGATGACTGTGCAATCAACTTGTCAACCAGCCATTTAAAATAAAACATTAAATCTACAGTACAATGCGACTTTTAGACCTATTGTAATTTGTTAATATTGTGTTTTACAAGATGAGTCAAATTCTAAAAGTACAAATGTCTAAGAATAAGAATTTCTTCATGGAACAGTTTTTGAAAATATAAAATACAGTTTTTTTGTTTTAATTGTAGGATTTTGTTCAGGGTGTTAAGAATTAAATAGGAATACGCTAATCTGATACTGGTAGTGAATATCGGCAACGTTATGGAAAAATTGCTGGAACAGATATCAAATATCTATTCAGGCGATATACCATTTTTTACTAGTCGTAGTCAGTCAAGAAAGTTTCACTATGTTTGAACTTTTATTTATACAACGTTGTTTTGTAGATACTTGAGAGACAGACAAAGATTGGGTATAACACTATAACTCACTATGGCGTGGTTCACCTTTCACGGCCTCGCTGTTTCGGAGGATTTTTTTATGTGCAATTTTGCTTTTTTTATTTTAATTTTTTTTTACAGCGTATGAACATGGATTGCGTTCCTCCCCCTGCGTCCTGATTGGCTAAGGGACTGTAGACCATTCTCAATCAATCTCCTCCATGCCGTGTCTCCTTTACAGTACAGAATACGTTTAGCTTGCCAAATTTACATAAATGTTCCATCACTAGTAGTGTGACTCTGAAGTGCTGTATGTTTGCAAGTTTTCTGTCTGACAAAACCCACAATGTCGACAAAACATTCGGCACCGACAAAGGCTTTTGTGGTAGCACCCAAAAGGCAGAGGAAGATGCAAACCATCGCACAAAAAGTTGGACTTCTGGACACGCTGAAGGAAGGTAGAAGTGACGTGGCTGTAGTGTTCCATTACAGAATAAATTAATCTTCGGTTCGTTACATAATGAAGAAAGAAAATTAAGAAAGATGCAAAAACGGTTGTAACTATCCTGTCTGAGAAAAGAATATAAAGTGTGAGGTGAGGGGTTTTACAGCCTTAAAACAAATATAATAATAAAGCTGACTACTTTGCGGATTTCACCTATTGCGTGTTATTTTTAGAACATAACCCCCCGTGATAAACAAGGAACCTCTGTAACACATTTGGATCAGTTTTGTATTGTCTTATTTTACTTTTAGGGAAATAAATGCAGTTTTCAGTCTTTGCGCTGGTATCAGTTGATAAATAAATAGTATCAAAGTTAAAAGCTTGATTGGTGCTTCCCTTATTTTCAATTTTAAACTTTTACAAGAGAGAAGACGAAAATGAAAAACTGCTTAACTAATAAAAGTATCTCATTTCATAACATGAAAGGCCATACACAATAAAACCGGACACTTCAATGTTGCAGAGGAATTTATAATCACAGTCTATACAATTTGCTAATTACGTGCATTCAAATTGCTATTACCGGTATATTTGATAATTATAACTTATAACAAACAATTCAGAGGAAAAAGTAATAAAAGTTGTGTGCACACGTAAAGTTAATAGGAGGTTACTTGATGCTTTTGAGTCAGTGGCAGTGCATACGGACCAGACGGGAGTACAAGACAAAAATAAAACTGAGATCATTCTTTCCTTTGGGGGCCCTCATACTCAGACTTTTGAAACTCTATCAGTGAGCTAAGATGGCTCAAGCTTCACAGGCTCAGAATAAAGAGGTGCAGGTAGTGCGTCCAGCTGTGAGGGGCCAAGCTGAAATATGAACTTAATACAGTGTGAAATCTTTGTGAGAGCCTCCCCGCAGAGTGAGAATGAGCAGGGGCCCAGCTTAAGAAGGGCCCCTCACACTCTCACATGCGCTCCTCTGTGTTCACTGCGTATACAGACATGTCTTGGAACCACTCAAGGACTAGGGATTAGGGTCCAGCCAGTCACCTGTTCATGTCCCTCCGCCAAGGCACTCGGAAAACATGCAATACACAATAGAGCTACAAGATTTAGGATTTTTTTTCAAGGGCCCATACAGTGCTATTTTCTGATCTGCATTATATTGTCACTTCCTCATTGCAAGCATACCTAGAGTTGTGTTTTGTTTCATTCACAAATCTTTAACACACAAATCCTGTCCACTCTGTTCCACCCTGTGATGTCAGGCACTAATACAGGAAGTGCTCCACTGTGTTTTTAAACTCCATACACCTTCATTAGAATCATCTGGAAGATTTCAGCCTGGGAATTGCCAATATCTACTGAAACTAAAGTGAAAATGCAGCTGTAAACTTGAAAATCACCACCACATGACATCACACGGTGGAATAGAGCATTCTGAGCTTAATAAAAGGTTACTCAAACATGTGTGAATGAAACAAAACACTGTGTCTTTTATTTATTTATTACATTGTATTCATTGTTTTATCATTTTTAGCTTTATGAATTTTGACACTTTCTTTATTGTTTTAAATTATGATTTATTATTTTTTATTGTATTAATTCGTCTGTGCGGCACTTTGTAAACTGTCATGTTTATAAAATGTGCTATATAAAAAAAGTGACTAGACTGAATATAACAAGAGTCAATTTTGTGTAATAAAGAATGTTTAAAAAGAGGAACTAAACATTAAATCCACTTTTTTTTTTGCTACTAAACTGTGTGCATATTGAAGCATAGCATTGTCTACTGTTCATAATGTCATTTTTGGTCACTTTAGTGCAAACTACGCAAAGGTAGAATATCTAAATGTAAGTTTGTGCTGCTTTCAGGGGCTTCTGCAATTTCAAGTACTACATGACATCACACAAGACTGCCCTGATGACGACCAGGTTTGTACAATTACCAACACTTGACGGCAGGGGCGGAGTTTGAAGTGTACCTGTTAGACCAATCACAGTGTTTCTTATACCTCACACTTTTTTTTTATTCCACAGGCTCTGCCCAGTTTAGAAGCTCTTTTGTTGTGGTGGACAGAATTTTATTTACTTTTTTTCAGACAAGCATTGAGATTTGATTTTGCGATGTATGTTTTAATAAAAGAAGTCTGCTCAAAGTTTACATTTTAAACTCATCCAGAAGAATTGACAAATAGACTGAAATATGAATTGACAAAATACAAGAATCACATTTCAGAACATGTTTGTACAGATTTTACAGTTGGCAGTTTGCGCAAAGTAAGACAGGATATTTTGATGTTTGTGAAGGAAATTATGTTACGTCAAACAGCGATTTTGGTTGGATTGTGATTATCCTTGCGGCCCTGCCTCACAGCTAGGGATCAGGGCCTGTTCACCTGTTCGTGTTCCTCCGTCAAGGCACGCACTTCACATGCAACACACACACACATGCACACATTAGTCTCCTATCATCGCCCTCAGCAATAAACAGCCCAACACCAGCCAGAGAAAGTGGATGTGTAAATGAGGTGTTCCAAGACAAAAAAAAAAAAAAAAAAACACACAAAAAACTTGGCAAAAGTAACACGAAACAGTGGCAAAACAAATGGTTATGTAAGGTAGAATTTTTAGTTCGATCTTCTTGATATAAGTTTCCGTAGCCTACGTCATAAAAGTGTAGTATCATTAGTGGGATGCACGCTGATTGGGTTGTGATAGCGCTCTGAAGGGGGACTAGCACAGAGAGCAAAGGGACAGGAAACTGAGAGGGTCTAAAATGAAAGTGAAATGTATAAAATATGTTAATAATTTATACTTGGCAAAAATCGAGGTAGCATGGTGAACTAAATATGTTATGTGTTAAGTCTTTCTTCATGCTTTATTTAAAAAAAACAACCTTATTGGAATAAAACGGTGGATTTGGATCGGTTTTAAAATCACAAGTGAACTCAGGCACTTCAAAAAGGCGCCTGGATGTAATATAAAAGCTTTAGTGCGAAGGGGAAAAAACTTGAAGAGAAAGACAATGCTTTCTTTTGACTTTTGGCTTTGCAAAGAGACGCACCCACTTGTTTCGAAATTTGACTT